TGTCTAATTAATGCAGTTTTATTATCACTCGTCTTGCTAAGTAATTATAATTGGGTTACCAAAAAAAAAAATCTCACTAATAGCCCTAATAGTCTAGAATTGTGCCCGGTATGAGGCCCTATTGCCTATTACATGGGACCATAGAAATCTTCTTTAGTATATCTGTGCATGGAACTCATAGCATTAATAGTGAAAAGTCGGTGTTACATTGCACAGTGGCATTAAGGGCCGTAATGTGCACCTCTGCCTACCTCTTCGGGGATAAAATGTTATATCATCTTGCTAAATGACTGTACATGTTATTTTTCTGGGTAGATCGTAAAATTAAATATCACATACACATCCACATCACATATTTCAATAACAATAATGTATATCACATATGAATATCTAGTTGTTTCTTACATGAATCAAGTCACACAAATACGTCAGCCGGATGTCTAGCCATGGCGCTCACGCTAAAACTCTTAATTATAATAATTCTGTCTACTTCTTACAATAATAATAAATGTGGGAGAGCCATGCTTCGACACGAATGGGCCGGCTCGACGGGAGTGATACCACGGCCTCACAGAAAACCGACGTGAAGCAACGCTTGAGTTGTGTTTCGTCATATGAATAAGGTTACCGAAGGCCCAATTACCCCCCTCCCTTTCCCCAATCCCTGAATCCCCAAACTCCTAATCCCTTACGTCCAGTTTCTATAACCTATCTATCTGTACATTTGCTTACTAGAGATAGAATTTTGACGCATTTTGTATGGAGCTCATGTCAAAATTCTATCTCTAGTAAGCAAATCTACAGATAGATAGGTTATAGAAACTGGACGTAAAAGGCCGGTAACGCACTTGTAACGCCTCTGGTGTTCCGGGCGTCCATGGGCGACGCCGATTGCTTACCATTAGGTGATCTCTCTGCTCGTTTACCGCCTTATCCCATAAAATAAAATACCTAGACAGCACTGACAAACGGGGAAGGAACACATAGTGAGGAAACATGGGCTTATAATTTCTAATTATAAGTTTGAAATCGCCAACCTGGGGGCTTACTCTTGAATCCAATTCCGATCGATCGACATTGGTATTGTGAAATTTCGTACTCTTGAGTTGCAACACTAAAGCCCATTCCATCCGTATTGCGGGGATATTTAATAAACTAAATTGTATTGAGTTTTGCTTTATATTCCGTACCCTCAATGCTTTTTTAACAGTTACGATTGGGGTTGTATAGTGTTGACAATGAATAATTATTGAGATTTTATTGGATTGAAATTGCATTGACATTGAGAATGGTTTCGAGAGTAAGCACCCTGCATTGAGCAAGAGTGGTGATTAATGCTCAAACCTTATCTGTGTGAGAATAGGCTTTTGGTCAGCAATGGCCATTTATAGGCTGTCGATGATGATGAATCATTACACAAAGAGAAAAATACTTAAATCTCCCATTATTAAAATAATCCATCAAACTGAGACTACTGCCTCTCATGACACTACAACAAATTCTCGAGCCAAATTCGAGCCGACCCGATTCGCCTGAAACAAAGACAGTCTTGTGGCCTGAAAATTAACAGGCACGCAACATTAAAGTGATTAATTTAGCCAATTAAGTGGGAAGAGACCGCCTCTAAATGAATAAGTTATTTTTAATTACTCAGTAATTATACAGCCAGGGATTAATTAGGATGTAATAATATTATGGTGATGAGTTTCATTCGCGTGTAATGACGTGAAGCGCTTTAGTTGGAAATTTTGATGACATGTGTGTGGCATTTGGATGTGGTTTAAAATACTTATTAGACTTATTTAGGTAAATGTGGGAGAGACATGCTTCGGTAGGAATGGGCCGGCTCGACCGGAGTGATAACACGGCGTCACAGAAAACCGACGTGAAGTAACACTTGCGTTGTGTTTAGTCGTGTGAGTTACCGGGTTCCTCGATCTCCTAAATCTCTGAATCCCCAACAATCCTCAAACTCCTAATTCCTAAAACACCGGTAACGCCTCTGGTAAGGTGTCCATGAGCGACGCCAATTGCCTATCAGGTGATACGTCTGGTCGCTTACCGGATTATCCCATAAAAAAAACTATGCTGGTTGTGTGGTCTCATAAGATCCTAGGTTTTGATTGTAGAGCGAAAAAGACTGTCTCATTGCCCAAATGGTCGAAAGTGCGACTGCCGGGCAAGGGGTCTCGGATTCGATTCCCGGGTCGGGCAAAATATTACTGTGTTTTAAACTGTCAAACACCAAGCGGTCACCGGTGACCGCAACCTATTGTTCTTTAATTGTGTCTATAAATACGGTACTCGACGAGTTAAAATTCTCAGCTCACCCCCTATTACATGGGACTCATAACATAAATGGTGAAAAGTGGGTGTTACATTGTACAGTGGCATTAAGTGCCGTAATGTGCACCTCTGCCTTCCCCTGCGGGGATAAAAAGGCGAGATGTTATGTTATGTAAGAGAAAAAGTTGTGTTAAAATATGGAAAATAGTGAACTGTCTTTTTTACAGATAAAGGGGATAAAGAAGCAGATGGAGCTCCTGTCTGCCGTCCTGAGACCTTAGTACGAGTTTGTTTTACGTTAAAAGTAATCGAAACGAGACTGCATTCGGCGGTCTGATTGGTTAGTTCATTGGAGCCAACCAATCAGAGTACCGAACGCGTACTCGTTTGGGATTTTTTTTTTTAAGGGGGGAAAATCATCGAATTACTACTCCCGCCTGGGTGAGGCGGAAGGGAGTGTCAGACTCTTACTGACTAAAAACCGCCCCGTTCCTTCTCCTGCACGTCGAGCCGGAGCCCCGGTTACCCGTTAGGTTCTCCGCGACACTCGTTTGGGATACTTTAAATGTAAAACAAATTCGTAAGGCCTCTGTACGCTGTAAGCGACCATCACCCACCATCCATGATCATCCGTAGCACCAGAGGACATAGGTACAAGTGCGTACTGGCCTTTAACAATTGCACCACCTGACCAACGATATACTTATGTAGGTAGTTGTTGGTTTGTGTCAGTTGTTCTTGTATAGTCATTATAACTATGGTAACCTTTATTTAATAGGGATGTTTTATGTAAATACAATAACCTAACATTTATTTTATTCTTACTCTTTATTTCTAGGTTTAACTGGCGAAAATATTTGGTTAAAACTACACCTGTAAAAGTACAAGTATTTTATTTTAATGTTTACAAGCTGAATATTATTTTAATTGTGGATATTGAATAAAGTAATACTACTGGTTGATTAAGTTATTTTTTTTATTTATTTGTACTCCTCTTATCAAGTGCACTGGACACAGTCATATACTTACGATCTTCAGGGTTGTATTTTGGAATCAACTTCGAATATCCCAATTTTATTTATTCCTAGTTCTATCACCTTTGCTGCCTGGTTGGTCGAGTGGTCGGAAGTGCGACTGCCGGGCAAGGGGTCTCGGGTTGGGCGAAGTATTACAGGGATTTTTAAAAAAAATCTCAGTAGTAGCACGAAGTCTAGAATTGTCCAGTATATGGCAATAGGCTCTACCCCTATTACATGGGACTTATAACATAAATAGTGAAAAGTGGGTGTTACATAGTACAGTGGCATTAGGTGCTGTAATGTGCACCTCTGACTACCCTTTCGTAGATAAAAGATGTTATGTTACATACTTTGCCCAACTCGGAAATTGACCTACAACACTCCACAAACTATGTCTCGTTAGTGATTACTTACACCTTTAACGATCAAATAACTAAGTCTTCATCATCAACCACTAACTGATAGGTGGATACATGGTTACATCATCGCAAGCACGATATGTTTATTATTTAGTCAATTACTGTACCAAGTGAACTGGGCCATCTTCGATGTAGGTAAATCACCATTATAAATAATAAACTTAATGATAAAAATTGTTTTTGATACCTACACATGGACAGTTGAAATTTTATTCACCAAATCCATTAGATACAGGTTGTGGTTTTTTTGTAGAGTGTGTTTTGGTTTATATTTTAGTATTGTGATGTTTATAGAAATGTTATAATTTTAGTACTTACTGTTTCTATTATTCTTCTTCTTCGTCTCCGACAGTTCCAATGCCATATAAATAAATGAGGCATAACTTCGAATATTTGACAATTCTTCCATACTAAAAATTGTCAAACGTCAATTTTATTCAACAGTTAAGAATAAACTAAGAAAAAAAGAATAAACTAATTATTTATTGAAAGTAATGGCCTTATATTGTCCTGTAATATTTCATCATAATTATGATGAATACGTACTTTTATTTTTTATTTATTTTTTAATTTTCAGCAAATAATATGTATCAATCAACGATTGGCTACTCTTGAAAAAGATGGCTATCCAATTAATGTTAAGTTTGAGACACATTTTGAAAATAGAGGAAGAAATCCTATAGGTATGTACCTATTACTGTTGTGATGTGCCAGATGTTCATAAATATCTTTTTATCTTCTCGCATCCCCCTGTACCCTGTATAAGAGCGACCGGCTATCGATGATATCGCCGTGACCTGACCCTACTCGCTATCAGACAATTAACTTTAATGGATATATTTAAATTAGTGCTCCACACTCAATTGACAACATATTATTATCGGTTCTTATTGTAAGCTACTCAGATCAAACATAAAAAAATAACACAACTGAAAATGTACTGTCTACTCATTAATGTAAAGTTCAAAATCAAATGCAACTCTCCTCATTAGGTTCTAGAAGTTAATCAATGAAAATTGTTATGGTTATAGGCACTTTATATTTGTATTTTAATCACGTCTGCCATTCTTATCAAGGGGTCACGCTGCAAAATCGTCGTTATCTCAAAGTACGCAATTATGAACGTAAATACAATTATAATAATGTACGTAATTAAATGTAAATAGGCAAATAATAAAACAAAATTTTGTCAATATCAAAGAAATATATATTTAACTACACAATAAAAGTAACAATGTACAAAATAAAACTCTATTTACACAATTATACAGTTCATATTTGAACGAAGGGGAATTTTGTACTTACATAAACAAAATTTTGGTTGGAAGGTAAAGTTTACCTACAAAGTTTTACATTAAATTAATTCAGAAAATTATAACTAATACACGATATTGTGTAAACTCCCTTTATTCTAATATTTACAAAATAATTTACACATTCTTAAAACTCACTGCACTCACAACCATGACGGCAGCGACAGCAGACAAATATTCTTTTTTTAAATATGCGGAACTTTTTTCAACGGCTCAGCGTTCGATAGTTCCGAATTTGAATTTGAAGTCACAGTTTATAACGTCTTTTTGAATCACTGTTGGGTGGTAGTTTGTGTGCTTGGTGACGGTGATCCGCCTGACACAGGTGGTTGGACCATGGTTAGATGTGGTGGCGGCAGGCCCATGGGGGGCAACGGTCGCCCTCCCGCCATAAGGTGGTGCGGGTGGAAATACTGCTGCAGCGCGGGGTGGGGGTATAAATGGTGGGGGTGGCGGGAAAACTGCGCCATTTTGAGTTTCTCGATCTCCGCCTCCTGTACGCGCTTCGCTTTCGCTCTTCGGTTTTGGAACCAGATTTTTACCTGTTGACAAGTTAAAATATTGTTGTTAGTCTATTACGCTAAATTGCCATTTTAATTATGAGGCGAGGTGTCATCTTTTCAAGATTTATACGGAAATATTCGCCAGATTTATATGAGACACAACTCGCTGTTTGTCATAAAAATCTAGTCACGTTATTAGGGATCGCATTATAAGAACATTCTAAGGAATTCATTTCAAACTCTAAAACAACTAAATTAAGTATCATATTTATTAAATCCTCACCTGAGTTTCAGACAATCCTAATGATGAAGAGAACTCGGCTCGTTCCGCAATACTCAAGTATTGCTTGTCGACAAACTTGCTTTCTAGCGCTCGAAGCTGCTGCGCGGTGAACGGGGTGCGTGGCTTGCGATTAGGTTTGTGCTTGCGGAGATTACATTTCAACTTCGCAGGCTCACCATTGGCATCTGTTGACAAAAGAAAGTATAAATTAGTAAAATAATCAAAGGAAGAATCTACAAACGACACGTTTGCCGCCAAAAGAACTCATAAGCTCACTCATAATTTCCAAAATGAGTCTCTCAGTGACCACAGTTGCACTCAACTCTTCCATCAAATTCATAAAACTTGTCTAAATTGCCGATTCAGATTCTTGCATAATGCATTCAATTTTCGCAACATAATAAAACAGTGGGCAGTAAAATTAAGCAGGCTAATTTGTAAACGAAACGATCTCTAATGATGTTTCGCAGCCTTTGTGAGATATGTCAAAAGAGATTGGCTCCAAAGATGCAGCATCAGATAACACAAGATGGACATTAATATTCTAAAGTGGATCTCGAAATGCTAACTTGAATTTCCTCAATACGTCTTTTACGACTAATTAATTAATCGTTAAATCTCCAGTTCTCTTATTCGATCACATTTTTCTTGATCAAGAGAATTTCTAAATACTCTTATATGGAAGTGGTATGAATATTAATAATGATAAATGGTAACATTTTATCTTCAGACGCTCCAAGGGCAAGTATGGGCAGCATGAACTTTACTGTTACATCTCAATAACACAAAAGCAGCCGAATGACGATCGGAATGTCGGTCCGTTCGTCCACAATAAATCGCATAATAAAACTCATATAAAATAAAGGCTAAAGGAAGCGAACTGCGATCCGATCCCGATAAAATCTCCATGAGGCAATGTTTAAACTTATTTAGCGACGAAAACAAGCGTATTAGTACGCAAATCGTTGATTTTATTGCCACAGCTGGTTAGAAAAGAATTGATTAACGCCCACACGACCCAGATATGAAGAGAGATAACAATTTTGTTGAGTACTCAGTAGTCAAAGCATTTATGTTCAAAGCTCTCTTGTAATCATGATTGGATCTGTCATTACGAGTTCGTTTTTAAATAAACTTTATCTGAATTCCGATTTCTTTTTTTGTAATCTCATCATCGTCCTGGGCACGTGTAATCCGTTGTGTAACTTTACGATCGTTTATTTCATCAATCAAATTAATCCGTGATTGAATCATAAATTTATGTCCATCTGAATCATCTCGTTCGTTTATTACTGGCAGTGGATTCGTCAACGAAATTCTGGTTTTATTAGTAATTTGGGTGTGATTCAATAAAAAACTGGCTCCTAAAGTTTTAAATTTATTAGCGGCTCCATTCGACGGCTTTAATGTACTCTAACCTACATAATTATCTATCAACTAATTGGTATTTAAGTACTAATTAATGTATGTGATCGTTGATTGATTGATGAACACGTGTTTGGACTTTCGTTTTATTGTGCTTATGACACATTTTCAGTGGCACGTCATTATGTTTAATGAAGCATAATTATTATTGAGCTAAACGTTCTCGAAGCTGATTTAACATGCAGATAGAAGTGATATAAGTTTAGGATTCTTAGCAACAAAATATTTGTAAAGATTTAAAATCTTGAATTATGATTGTAACACAAGAGCAGAAACGATTAATTAAACCTCGTAGAAAATACAAAACAACGATCAGCTAACATTTGCAATATGTAATTTGCATTCGAGATATTAAAACATTAGTAGATAGTATGGCGCTTCGAACGACGTATTAATCCCAATGTCAAACTGTACACTCGCTTAATAGCTAATGGCCCACAAAAAAGTAGAAAAAAAAAACGTAAATTATGTGACAGTCGAAAAAAAGTCAAAGTGTATTAATGTCGTGTTTAGCAGACGTCAAAGCAAGTACCGACGACAAGACGGAAATAAAGCTAAGAGCCGCTACACACTAACGATTTAAGTGCCGACGTTTTTTCTATTTAAATAGATAACTAAATTACCGCACATCGTTTTTTATCTTGTTGTGTTTTTATTCTACACACAAGCGTATTTTAATAAACGCTACTGTATTCTGTTTGAGAAATTTCTAGCATTATTAATGGGAAAGAGGCTACAAGAATAATGTAAAGTTCAAACATGTCGCAGACGCACGTGTGGGGCGTTTCTTAAATTTACTCGGGAGCTAAATTACCTCCTTTAAAAATACTTATATGGGCCTGTCTGTTCTCGTTCTCTTGTTAATTGTATAAAGAGATATTGGCTACAGATGTTACACGGCTGACTTATGTCCGTGTTGTGAGCGACGAGAGAAATATGAGACATTTAAAATGCGTTTAAATACATTCCCCATTGTTGCACACTGACGACTTAGCGACTTTTTGTTTTGAAACAGAAACGTCTAGCTAATGAATTATGAAAAGTGCCGAGAGTTTTTGTGCGACTTAAAAATGGAAATCAATTCTCATCCTGCACGTTTCTGCTGACGGTACCTAATGTTTCAGTTGTGCTGCTAAAAAGACAGTTGATATATTAATGAGCATGTTTGCTTTTTGTGTGCGCACCACCATTAATCGTGCGAGGCGTGGTATGTCATTCATTCCAATATTTTAAACGGGCAGCGTATACTTGACGTTTTTGTTGTCTGTACAAGAGAGGCGGGCATTCTTTGCGTCTTGCGGGATACTTAGCATTACACGTTTCTTTTATTAACCGTGAATGTAAAGTATATTAGTAGCAATATATTACCAATACTACAATAATAATAAAAATAGTTGCGAACTCATATAGGTCTCTCCTTTACTATTCATATAATATTTCAGTCATTATAAGCGATAATATAAAAATGTAAACACATTACAAATGAAAAGTATAATAAAAATCAAAATATATTTGTCACAATTCGTGCCGCATAGTGTTATAAACAATCGTCGCGGCGTAACATTATAATAAAATAACACATTTGTATCGTAACAACTAAAAACTCATTTGCCGATTTTCACCGCAACCGAGAAAAATTGTTCGAAAATTGAAAACGATGTATTTAAAAATATGTATTCATAAAATATTTTCTTCAGTTGAATAGCTGTGTAAATAATTTATTCCGTCAACAAAGCAGTATTAGCTGTGCGCCCGGATTCCTCTACAAAACGCCCACAATATTTATCTGGTGATCAAACGAGTCCTTAACGGAGGCCATTCATCAGCACTCAATCTCTACCTCATAAAGAGGGCCATAGAAAACGCGGAAGTGCATCGTCTGTTAACCGTTTAATTTATGTTCGGAAAACTATTTTAGTGATCGCTTTTATGTTTAGAAATGACTATTACTTATCATTCGAACGAATCTAATGAATGCTAACCAATAAATATGTTGGATCAGATAACTAAATAGATGAATAGATTTTTTAACAAACAAAAGTTTTCTATAAGCTATTTTCCTTCAGCTCTTTTTTCGTTGTAAAATGGCGCTTTTAAATGTGATCTTATGTTGATTTATGACACAAAGAACGCTTAGTTGAGTTAAAGAGGTGCTTGAAGTTTGTAATAGCTCCATCTTTCATATTTTATTTGAACTTCTGTCTTTGATGTTAGAAGCACAAAAGATAATTTATTTATCCTTCTCATTTAAACAATTAATAGCGTTTTGTAAATAAGTTTATGCGCAATAATCTGCGACGCAAAAAACTGATTTAACAAAACAAAAAGAAATAAAGAAATATTTATACATATTTGAAAGAACTGGCAGACATTAATTTCTTCAATATACGTAAGTACTTACACCAGTGTAAAACAAATCTAAATCAATCCTTTCCTATCCATTTACTATTTAAAATATACCTATTAATTTCTCTCGCTACTCTTGTGGCCTCACCTTAAATGATCTATAAAGAGCATCACCCCGTTAAAGCTGTGTTTATACTTGTAATGTTCTGTTCAGTTTACAAATAGCACTATTCAATGGGACATTAGTATTTTGGCTTTACGCCAGCGACTGACAGCCGGGTTTGACTGCTTGTTAAACACAAAACGTCAGTTTTTTGTATTTGTACCGAAAAGTTTAGTGTTGTATCTTTGTGTATTGTTTTTTTTTATTGTTATAATGAGGTATGAAATGGCAATTTTGGGGGTTTTTTACATAATTATATTTGTTGTAGTAGTTTTAGTGTCATTTTGCATTAATTTACTGGTTTAGTAAGTAAGTTAACAATAACGAACGTACGGTGCCGCAGAGAACCTAACGGGATACCGGGGCTCCGGCTCGAAGTGCAGGAGAAGGAACGGGGTGGTTTTTAGTCAGTAAGAGTCTGACACTCCCTTCCGCCTCACCCAGGCGGGAGAAGTCGTTCGATGATTATTCCCCCTTAAAAAAACACTAACGAACGTAAACATGTTACAATTAATATAATTTTGACATTTATAATTAATTAAAATTTGACAATAAATATTCACGATTGTTACCATTTCAATAATACGTAATCAAAATCAATTAACATTTAAATAAAATAATTGAAGTTATTTTGCGAACCGTACACCAGATGAAGTACTCGCGACAGTTTTGTTGCACATACTCGGTAATTGATTGGGAATGCTTCTATAATTAGGAGCGTGACTCTTGTTGCTGACGGTACATTGTACATGTAAGTACAATACGCACAATAGACTTGTCCTGTGTGTATGTATGTATATGCAAAATTATGCGAATCGAAATGGATATCACTTGTAAGTCGTGTCTGCAAAAACTAGTAATTTAAATTCGAGTTATCGTGTTTACTTGCATATACACACGTTGCGGTAAAAATTAATATTGCTTTTTTAAGTTTAGGCGGAAATGTACTTTATTTTAATGTATTTTAATGTGCTTTTTGGAATGCAATTAGATGTTTATTAAGATTCTATTTGTAGATAAAAATGACAGGTAAGTATGTGTATTCATATTTTGTTGTACCTATTTATTTTTATAAAAATACTATTACAAGTTACTTTATGATACCAAATGCTAAATACACCAATCTTATTATAAAAAACCGTAATTATAAAAAAGAAAAAAAAATGCATTTGTCCCACCCAGAAATCTAACTTAAAATTGGTAGGTAGCTCAATAGACACACTTACGTAACTTAGCCAACGAGACACAATA